CCCACCTGCCCGCTGGCTCCCCAGTCAGGTCTTTAGGGTGAGAGCTGCTCCTGAGCCGGGTGCTAAGGTCTCCTGCATGTGCCCCCGGGCGTGAGCGGAGCGGTTCCCTCTGTGACACAGAGATGGAGTGGGCCCCCTCCGTCACCCTCCACTGAGATGAGGTGCTGCGGTGTGACCCTCTAACGGCGGGGACTAGATGTACTGCTGGCACCTGACCCGGAAGGAAGCCTCGTGCCCCTCCCCCAGACATCAGTCCTGTCCCCACAGCATGGATTTGGTGCCCGAGGGAGTTTGCTTCCCTCCCTGGCTTCTCTGCACTGCCCTGTCCCTGCAGCCCAGCCCGCCTGCGACCTGGACGCACGGAGGAGGGCAGCGTCTGAGAGGCGCGTCTCAGCCTCGGGAGGTCGGCAGAAGTCGTTGAGCGGTTGAGACTCGGCTGGTGCGGGGCGCTTGAGAGCACTTGGCAGCACCAGTTAAAGGACCAAAGTGCTGAGTTCTTCTGTCTAAATATAGAAAGTAGAGAAAAGTAAACAAGTCGCAGTTTGTCTTGGAGGAAGTGTTGGTTTTGTTGCTGGAAAGGAAACGTGGGAGGAGCTGGGTATTGGTGTGACTGGCAGAGGCAAAGCCCGGCCGGGCGACCGTGGACAGACCGTGGACAGACAGCCGGCCCAGAGCACCGAGCGCGACGCGGCGCTTGGGATCCAAGCGTGGGGGGGACTCGTTCGGACGCTTCGGGAGACCGGCCGCGTACCAGGGCACGGGCGGGCCTCTCCCGTGGCTTCCAAGCTCCTGCGCATCACCCATCCGTTTTCCCAGAGCCTCCAGGATGCCAGGTGTCACAGGCTTCTCTCCAGAGCCAGCGGCAGCGGCAGCCGCTCTGACAGGGAAGTCGGGTGAAGTGTGCCCGTTCTTAGCCCCTGGCGGACGCCCCGTGGCTGACATCGGTGAGCCATCTAGCCATCTAGCCACCTTACGCTGCCAAATAGTCCTGAGGAAGACCACACCTGAAAAACTCTTGAAAGGAACTTATCTGCCATGTGGGTGCTCAGGAAACATTTATTGAAAGAAAGAATAGGCCTCTTTGCTCCTTTCTCTTGGCTATTTTTTAACGTTTTTACAGAAGTCACATGTGGCCAAGGTTAAAAGTTTCAGTAATGCGTAAGGGTTCGCTTACATAAAAAAGCAGCAGTTGTAACAGTTTTGGGAAGTGCTTTGTTCCTAAAGTATCCGATATCTGTTTTTCCTCATGTACCCCGCTTCCGGAGGGCAGCTCCTGGAACGCGGCTCCTCGACCGGCAGCACCAGCACCGCCGCGGTGCGTGGAAGTGCGGGCATCGGGCCCTGCCAGCCGGGCAGGACCAGGAACTTCAGGCGCAGCCCTGGGGCCTGCGGTGTACTCTCCCCACTGCCCCCCGCCATGGTCCAGGCCCACGCACCTGGAGAACCGGGTTAGAGCACAGAGGTGAAAAGAGGCGGCCGTGGGATCAGGTGGCATTCAGGTGGCCCCTCCCACATATGGCCTTCCCCCTGGGCCTCTGCATCCCTGTCTCCACTGGGACCAGAGCTCCCAAGATCTGCAGGGGCTCTTGTGAGAACGAACACGAAACCTGTAGTGAGCACTTAGCATTGTGCGTCTCACACATAGCATTCAGTAAGTGGTTTGTTCTTGTTGTTAGCTCGCCTCCTGGACCAGGTATTAATCTTTTAAACGGCATCTCAGACAGGGGGCTCTCCAAGGAGGTCATTCAAAAGCTCCGGCCCATTCCAGCGAAGAACAGGTGTAGCTGTCCGTAGTTCTTTTAGCTGTTGAGAGAGTATTTGCCTTCCTGTAAATTCTTAGCCGGAGCTCTCTGTTCTCGCAAGCCATTGGAACAAGACCGTTCTGCAAGACAGGTGTGCAGATGTTTGAAGATAGTGGCCTTGGCCATTCCGAACTTCCTCTTGTTCTGTTCCCGGAGATCAACTTCAACATAAAACGTAGTAGGTATTTGAAACCTGTATGGTTTATTTTTTTAAAAAGGAAAGAAAAAAAACCTCTCACCGAGACTCTGCTTGGTAGTGAGTCTTTGGCAACTTCTGGTGTGTGGAGACGCCTCAGAGTTTAGGGTGAGGCTTTCCCGGGTGGGCCTATGGGCACGGAGTAGACGTCGGGGTCGGAGGCCTGTTGGTAAGGCGTGGGCCAGTCACCCATGGGTGTCCCCATATAGGCCCGTGGGTCCTGGGATGCACACCCCTGGAATCCAGTGTCCCTGCCTCAGGGCCCCAGCCCTTTGCCTGCGCTGGTCTGGGGCTCCGTGGCAAGCTGCCGGTGCTGCCAGGCGTCCTGTGTCACCCGTGTCCTCCCCTGCGTCAGCAGCCCTCTGTTTCACTAGCAGCCCCCAGGATGTTTGCAGTCTGCTATAAGGCTTTGTCTCATTTGCTCGATGTCTAACCGTCCTGGCCGGGCAGACGGTCCCCTCTCCTGGGCTGTGCCATGGCGTGGCACAGGGTGGCGGCAAGGTCGCCGTTTTAAAATGGGGTTTCGTAGAGTAAACACGCACTCGGATGACAGGAAGTACGCAGCTGGTGATTAATGGATGCTGCGGAGCTGGCCTTGCACTTTCAAATGCTTTCATTTCTGTGATCGTGTATCTAGTGAGGTTGCAGCAGGCCCACACCTCTGATAATTTCCAGGGAGCTAATTTGCGCTTTGTTTTCTACCTGTGATGCCTAGGCAGGTGGTCATTAGGAGACAGGGCGGAGGAATCCTGTGTCAGCTGCAGGTCGGCAGGGAGGTGACGGAATGGCCTGAGGCTGCTGGGCCTGCAGCTGAGAGAGCTCCCGCCACACGGGGGCTCCGGAACCAGGGACCGGTGTTTTCCTCGGGTTAGAGAAAGGGCTGCGGGCCGAAGGGAAGAGTGCCCAGAAAGTCGGGGGTGGAAGGCTCGAGCCCGCTGACACCCAGAGCTTGCCCGAATGTGGATGGTTTCCTGTGCAAGCGTGTGGTAAGTGTTACCTGACATGTGAAATGGGTAGAAAGTGTAAATGCATCTGATGACAGTTTAGAAAAGTCGCTAAGAAAAGAGATCACTATAAAACTACTAGCGGGATCTGTCCCTGACTTCCGGCCTTCGGGGTTGACAGCGGGAGGGGTCGTGCCCCCTCCGAAGCCACTCAGTGCTGAAGGCCAGCGGACGGCGCTCGTGCCGTGTGTCATCTGCAGGGAGGGGCCGTGGTCTGGGCCGCAGCCTGCTGGGTGAATGTCAGGCTCCCTGGGAACAGAGTGCAGGCAGAGAGGCGGGAAGGGCCCTGGGCATAGGCCACCCCACTGCCGTGCGGTTTGGGCCACGGACGTCACCTTTCTGAACCTCGCTTTCACATCTGTATTCTCTGCAGCCAGTAGCTCCTACCATGGGGGGGAGGGGACTCTGTGGCATCATCGTTCTCAATGAGTGAGTGAGTGGCAGATGGACACGGGACAGCAGCTGACTCGGCGCACAGCACAGGGACGTGTCAGCTCCCAGAGGGCGGGCGTGGGGACGGTCAGCACTGAGCAGGGCATGGGGAAAGCGTCACCACTTCTTCTTCATCAGAGTGTCCTTGGGGCCAGTGCATTCAAACCTCGTCCTCTGGGGCGAGAGGCCTGTGAGCGGTTAACAGCTTTTAAGACAGGGAACTGATGACTTTTGCTGCGATGTTCTTCGGAGTTTACCTGCTCCTCATCTGGGCCCCAAAGCAGGCGGGCAGACCGCTTTATCTCGCCCGACGGGCACTTCTCTAGAGGCGGCAATTACAGCGATGATGAACGTGGGGGGACCCGGTCCCCCACCTCCGCTGCCCACCCCACCTTCTAGCGGTCAGCGCCCCTGCAGCAAGCCAGCGCCGCACAAAACCCACCTTCAGAGGGCACTGGGGTCACGCTGGCCACGAGGTCCCCCCTGGGCGTTCACAGGGATTGTTTGCAGGGATTGCTCTGTCCTTTAGACTGATCTGGGGGGAGCAGAGTCGGAGGACGGTGCTCCTCAAGGCCCCTCCATGTGGAGCGGGGCGTCCTCTGCCGGTGGGGTGGGGAGTCCGCCTCTCACTTGGCGCGTCACCTTCTCCGGTGTTGTTCAGCCGAATGTTAGTATCATTTTTCCCCTTACCTCAGACGACACACCAAATAAATTCCAGGAGGATCACGGTGTGAAATGTAAAAAAAAAAAAAAAAAGAACAAGAAGAAATAGAGAATATCTGATCTGAGGAGAAAATTTGTTCTAAGCATAAAAACAAAGACATAAAGAGAATGACATCTTGAAAACCTAAAGGTTTTTAATTAAGTACTTTAAAAAATTTAATACACCAAAGAACACAGATAACAAAAAGGGAGAAAATGGGAAAATGTAAACGTTTATGACATTAACGTAATCACCTCCTTAATATTCTAAGGCCTCTTTGAAGTAGGAAATGAGAGCCACTCCTGCAGGAACGTGAACAAGAGCGTGAATAGGAAATTCAAAGAAATACACACCACCAAGAATCTGTTAAACTTACGAGCTATCCAGAAAAACAATTCTTTGCAGTGGAAATTTGGAGAAACCTAAATGATTAACCATATGACTATATTTAAAGTTATCGTAAACTTTGATGTCTTTAAAATCATGTTAACAGGTTAAGAGTAACGATTAGAATAAGTTCACAACATATTTTGTAAGTGAAAAAGGTGGGTTAAAACAGTATTATCTCCATTTTGTTAAAAAATTAAAATTCAAGAGTGTACATCAAAATGTGTACCAAAGCTATCTCTGGCTGATGTACTTCCATATTAGTGTAATTTTTACAAAAAAAAAAAAAAAAAAGACGTGTTTTTAAATTTTTACATGAAAAGGGATGGAGGAAGGCGGTTGAGGAGGCACCACGGAAAGTCGGGAGTGCTTGGTCCCGTCCGTGTCTCGCAGCGGGTGCCTCGTGCCCCCCTCCCCGCTCCTCATTCTCTGCTCCCCACACCCCACCCCTAAGACGCCTGCTCATATCTCGGCAGGACTGAGCACCGAAGGCATCTACCGCGTCAGCGGGAACAAGTCGGAGATGGAGAGCCTGCAGAGGCAGTTCGATCAAGGTAAGGCCGCGCAGCTGCCACACGCGTCCCCAGAGCAAGAGGTGCCAGCTCAGTTACTGAGAAAGAGAAAATACTTGGCCCCAGGTAGCTCTGCCTCGATGCCACACCGCCACGGAGGAGAGGGAGACAGGCCGTTAGCAAACGAAAGCAGCGCCCTGCCAAACCCGCGCTGGCCGCTGCTCCCCCGTCACCACCCACAGACGCTGTTCACGTCACCCTGGCACGTGCCTCATTCACTGCTCGAGGGCCTTGCGTCTCTGGGACTGGGCCACACAGGCGGTTGCAGGCACGGGCTCGAAAAGTTAGCTTAAAAGACAGTCCTATCTTGCCGGGGACCCAGGTGTGTCCGCTCACAAAGTCCCTGCACGAGAACACGAGGGAGCCTTTGGGATCAGCTGGCGCCCAAAGCTGCGCTCTCGTCAGACTCACTCTTGGCGGGGACCCTTGTGCCCTAAGCTAGGTCACCTCTGAGAGGCCCACTCCCTGGCCAGGAGCAAAGGGGCCAAAGCTGTCACAGTTCTCAGATGTCACTGGCCAGAGAGGACGGGAGGCTGAGGGTCAAAGTAGAGTCCGACTTGGCATGTGGCTGGGCCCGCAGAGACCGCGTCAGGCAGCCCGTGCGACAGGGCAGCCGGCCAGTGCGCAGCCAGGAGCAGGCACTGCCCAAGCACCCAGGGGCCGTAGGACTCTGCGCGGTCAGTGTCCGCTCGCCGGCAGTGGGAGGAGATGACACACGAGAAAAGGGAGACACCCATTCGTCTTCCAGGATAGGAAGCCTGAGGTCACAGCGAGGGTGCAGCCACACAGTTGGGTACGCACTCGTGTGTGTGCGAGAATCTGTAGCACAGAGTGTGCCCTCAAAGTGGGAACCGCTGATGGCCAGCAGATAATCCTCACGAATTGGGAATGCAGTAAAGTCTGAAAAGAAAAATTAAATGCAGGTCAGTGGTATCATAAGCTGGGAGGGGCCAGAAGGAGAAAACAAATCTATTTGTCCGACCACCAGAAGGGACAAGGATGGAGACAGTAGTCAAGACTGTTGGTAATGTGACTGTAACCCAGCAGTCCCCCACCTTTGTGGCACCAGGGGCCGGTGCTCCTGTGAGAATAGAATGCCGGAGGATCTGAAGCGGAGCTGAGGCGGTGATGCTAGTGCTGGGGAGCGGCTGCAAATAGATGAAGCTTCGCTCACTCACTGCTCACCTCCTGCTGTGTGGCCCCGTCCGCAGCCTGGGGCTTGGGGACCCCAGCTATAACCCACTGTGAAAAGTGAACCGGCCTTTTAGGAAAGCCTCCTTTTTTCCCTGAGGGGAGGCGTGTAGAGAAAAGGTAGCAACACCCTCAGGCAGCCACAGGGAGCTAGATGGCACAGGATGTGGGGTGCAGCCCCCCTGCCCACAGGGGGACCTTGGGCGGAGGCGCTGGGTGTCGACCTCTGTCTGTGAGCAGCTCCCAGAGATGCCACCTCCTGTCCAGTCTGTGGTAACCCTGAGTCCCCGCCCAGGCTCCAGGCCAGCCCTGGACTGCCTCCCAGGGTCCTTGGGGTCTCTCCGACTACCCCAGCACTGGGTTTGCCTTCGCCCTGCCAGCTCAGGGTGCTGTGGCCTCACTCTCCCAACTCCCTCCCTTTCAGACCACAACCTGGACCTGGCGGAGAAGGACTTCACAGTGAACACGGTGGCTGGGGCCATGAAGAGCTTTTTCTCGGAACTGCCTGACCCCCTGGTCCCGTACAGCATGCAGACTGACCTGGTGGAGGCTCACAGTGAGTGCTGGTCTCCCCCTGCCCGCCCCCCACCAGCTCTGCGGAGGGCGGGGGGCAGGGCAGCACCGTGAGAACAGGCCCTGCCCTCGGGAGGCTGCACTGGCTCTTGGAGCTGAGATTTGCAGGTCATAAGGGAAGGGATGACACCAAGGGACCCCAAGCGAGGCCCCCGGTAGTGCAGACCACAGGTGCCTCGGAGGGTTAGATCAGGAGAGTCGCACGTTCCCCCACACCCCACGGGTTAAGAGCCCGCGTGGCTGTCAAACCAGGTCGTCGGATCCCTGCCCCTTCGCACACAGTGTCGCTTCCCTGACCCTCAGCTGCCTACGTCGCTGTCCCTTCTCCTGTGTATGAAACAAGACTGGGCAAGTTCCGGAGGCAAGGCCGTGAGGAGCAGCCATGCCTCCTCCCCACCGCTCCCTGTGCTCCGGCCCAGCGGCCAGCCTCGAGGAAGCGGTCTCCGGAGTGGCCCCTACCAGACATCACTTGGGGCTGCAGTGAGTTAGCGCCTCTGGTTTTAAGAGTCACCTTTGCATGCTGTCCTGCCCGCCAGGGCCTTCCCACCGGGCAGCCTCTCCTGGACTTGCCGCAGAGACCGGAGAGGCCGGAGCGCTCAGAGCCCCCAGGACGACGTGGCACTGTCAGCCTTCTGAAGCCGAAGGCTGCCGCAGAAGGGAGGGAGTGCCTTTGCCAGCGATCAGGCGGTGGGGAAGAGGGAAGGCGTGTTCCTTGGACCCCAGAACATTAGTCTTATGTCATCACTGCTCAACTCAAAAGAGGGTGCTTACGGGACCGATGGCGTTGTGAGGTCACAAGCCAGCAGGGCTTCCAGGCCTGCGTCACACTCTCAGTGGCTTCAGGGGGAGACGCATTGACGAAGCCCCCCGTGTGTAGAGGGGCCCCACGGCGGCCCTTCCCTACTGTTTGTTCCCTCACCCTGGGGGCCCTTTCACCTTATTTAACCCACACAGTCTTGGTGGATTAAAACCGTCCCTCACCCTGGGGGCCCTTTCACCTTATTTAACCCACACAGTCTTGGTGGATTAAAACCGTTCTCATCGGGCCCAGGGGAGGCAGCGGGAGCACACGTTCTGGGACTGCCTCAGAGCGGCCTTCTTCCCCATCGCCTTCTCAGGGCCGGAGTCAGGGTTTCCCAGATGCGATCAGGGTGGGCACAGGCACAGGCTTCCCCTCTGATCCTGCCGTGCAGGTAGAGGTCCTGCCAGCAGTCACTTCTCCAGCTGGCTCCAGGCCGGCCCAGATGTGACACAGGAAACCTCCATCCGGAGCCAGCTTTCTCTCCACCTGCGCTTGTCCCTGGGCGGAAGTCAGGAAGAGGAGGTGTGGGCTGGTACCCAGCTTGCTGGGAGCTGAGGGGATTCCTGTCAGCATTTGTCTTGACTTGGTGCCATCTAGAGGCTTGTAGAGGCCTGGCACCCTCCAAAACCCCATTGTTTCTGCGGGAATTGCTGACATGGCATCTTTTCGTCTTTGGAGGGGCATGGGGGGTGCAGGAAAAGGAGGTGTTACTGATAGGGAATCGCTGCCCTGCCTGCAGCAGCTTCCACTGGCCTCCAGTGCTGAGGAAGGGAGCTTCTTGCTGCTACTGAAGCCTGGAAAAGGGTGGGGATTTTCCGCTTCCCGTTGCCATTATTGTTTCCTGTGCCCCAAGCTAGTCAGCTGGAGCTCCGAGTCTCGAACCTGGCGTGGGGAGTGTATCTCCCGGACCTGGTACCTCACAGCCACAGCGGCCGAGTGAGGAGACACCGGCCAGGCAGGCCGTGCCAAAGTTAGTGTTAAGGGACATTATGGAACAAAGGTTCTCAAGCCCAAAAGCAGCTGTTTCAGCCTGGCTGGGTTTCCATGGTAACATGAACTTGACCAGCTCATTTCACTTACTGCCCAAGCGCTGTTGTATCTGTGTTTAGGGTTCGGAAACAGCTTCACATCCCATCACAACAAATACCAAGGTCACTGTCAAATGGTTTTGTTAGCTTCAGAATTTCGCAATATTGAACAGTCTTGAAAATGTGCCAACAAAATAGATTTTTGTGATGATTCACCAATTACCTTACTACCACGTTCAAGGTAGTGTGTGGGAAATTCAGAAATGAGTAACAGCATACCTCTAGGGAGTGGCAAGCTGGGGCCTGACCTTCCGTGCTGAGACACTGTCCCTGCCCTACCTGGGTGCACACGTGAGCTGCCAGACAGCGAGGCAAGCTGAGCCACAAGTGCAGAAAACGCTCTCAGGACGGAGGAGAGGGCTTCATGGAAGAGGTGGCGCCTGAGCACTGGCCTGGAGAAGCACCAGGGTTTCGGGAGGCAGAGAAGACCTCATACTTCCCTATTCCCATGTCGTTTCCTCTCACGGCACGCCACCACCCCCGTCTGGAGCCCTTCCCATCCACTCAGGCCCCGCGGGCCCTGTCCTGTGTCTTCCGTGCTGGGAGTGTCCTGGAGCTGACTGAATCTCTGCCCAGAGGCTCTGAGCTAAGGACCTTGGGCTCCGGGGCCCCCTTAGCTCGTAGCTCTGCCCATAAGTTCACGTGTGCATTGGGGTCCGCAGAGAAGGCCGGGAGCTTCATCAGGTCATCACAGGAGGACGTAGGACCCAAGTGGCCGAGGATGCCCGCTTTCCGTCTCACTACCCCATTTACCGATGAAATGGCTTAGGGCCGGCGGTGCCACATGACAGACTTGCGTGTCACCAGACAGACCTGCCTTGCTGCTCACTGGACTCTGGTTCACATGCCGCCTTGTGACGTTGCCCGTTCTGGGATT